CATGGACTTTGGTTTCCTCAAACCCCAGTTCAAATCCAAGCTCTACTATGAATTAGTTTATAGAATCAACCCGATTTTCCCAAGGTCAGGTACACTTCTGAAAAACGGGGACAATAAAGCCCACCTCTTAATGGTGCCAATAAAAATGAAATAGGATGACGAACATAAAGTGGAGCACAGCACCTGGCACACAGCTATCACTACGGCATACCTCACTTTATTGACCTTCACTTCATTGCATGTCACAGATGTTACATTTTCTACAAACTGAAGGTGAGAGTGCGAGAGGGATGTAGCAGGTGAATGGCTCAATCTCCTGAATGCTTTATGGGACTGTGTGTATCAGGGAGTACCCAGAGAGAGGGGAATGAGTCAGAAAGTGAATTTCGTGAGTGTGTGTGTGAGGGGAGAGAAAAAACAAGTGAATGTAAGAGAATGGAGACATTTGCCCCCATGAGTATGAAACCAAAGGCTCCAGTGTATCCTGTCTCTGAACACTCACCTGCCTGTTATTAGCCACATGTGGGCCTCCCATGCATGCTCATCCTCCTGTCTACCTTGCTTATGTGTATGTGCATGTGTGGAAATACAAACATGGAAAAGGAACATGTAAACTACACCACAAGGATACAATCAGAAAAATCCAGCCTGTGGGAAACTGCAGGAAAAATGGTTCACTTTCTTCCAGCAAATAAATTATAAGCAGAGAAAAAATATAGATGGAGGAGGAAGTTATAATTCAGAGACTACGGATACTTACCAACCAAATAAAATGTATGGACTTTATTTGAATCCTAGTTTATGATATTTTTGAGACAACTAGAAATTTGAACAGTGGATATTTGATGACATTAAGAGATTGTTAAGTGTAATAATGGTATTATGGTTATGATTTTTGTAAACAAGATTTCTCACTGTTTAGAGATACATACTAATCATTAGCTTTCCCTTTCCTCTATATCTTGCTACTTCCCACCCCTGCTCCTGCCACAATGGCATCCTTGATATTCCTAGAATACAGTAGACCTTTCCTGATTGCCCAATTTGATCCTGAAACTCCACCGCTGTTTCCACTGCCACTGCCTTACCCACTCCTTATCCCCCTTTCCTGCTCTATGATTCCTCAGAGCACTTATCACCTATTGGCTCATTACGTATTTTACCTACTCACTTTGTTCATTGCCTATCTTCCACCCCCAACTAGGACAGGGATTCTTGTCTTTTTATCACTGATGTATCCCTGTTGTGTAGTAGAGTACCCAACACATAGTAGATGCTCAATAAATATTTGTTGACTAAATGAATGACTCATTGAATGAATCAACTGCAAATCCTGGGTCTGGAACTAGTACAGAGAAAGCTTACACTCTGACTCATGTCTATGTGACTGTCTAAGAAGACACTACCCTCTCATGCAAGTAAGTATGCAGTTGAGAAGGCATGTACCTGTGTGTGTGCACTTCCACTGTGTTAAGGAACAGATGCTCCTTAATTTCCCTTACACATTGGGTTCGTGAGCATTAGCTACAAGGCCTCCTTTCCATCACACCCCATGTATGGGAGTACTAAAAAGGATTTCTCTCCTTCCCCATAGGTGCTGGCAAGGAAGGAACAGGTCTAAAGATTCCCTCCTTCTAGGTTATCCTTGTCATTGACTGTGAGGACCTATACTTTGTATAAGAAAAAAAGGCAAGAGAAAACTCCTTCTCCTGCAAGATCTATGTAGGACTGAGGTGCAAGAAAGGACACAGGGCAGTGAGTTGTTCTCCTTTACAGGGTTATGTGTCCATCTTTTTGCAAAGGGGTGTATGTGCGTACATGCACAAGAGAGCAAGGAAAGCTGAGGCTCACCATCCTGCAAACCCTGCATGTGGGAGGGGTTTTCAGCAAGTGCACCCTCCACCATGCAAGGGATGTGAGAGAGGGAGCAGGGAAAGGCTCACTCTCTTGGCACAACATGTAGAATGCTCTAGAAAGCAAGGTGCATCAGCCTGGGGGTTGCCCATGGGCAGCAAGGGATCCAGCCAAGGGAGAGGTGCTGGTGGGTAAGCCAGGAGGGGTACACATGGAGTGGGACAGTCATCCATGGCAGGTTTGGTAGCAGTGAAGAGG